AAAAAGAAAAAGACATGCCTACAGCAACCAACCTTGGGTCAGTTTGCAGAGGAGCCACCTTGAGTCTGACCAGTTCTCCCTGCCCCTAGCTCCCCTCCCACCAGCTGTTAATTCCCCACCCTACCCTGAGCAGCAGGAACACAGCAGAGGCAGAAAAGTTCTCAACTACACCTACAGCTACTGCCAGCCATTGGCGGGAGGAGAGGGCTGAGTTTTGGGTTAGGGTACCTCCAAGCTGCCCAGCAGAGGGAAAGGGAAAGGACTGTTTAGCTATAGCAGCAGAATGGGACAGGCAGCCCATCCCCTCCATGCCAGCTACCCATGCTCCAGGGCCAAAGGATCACCCTAAAGCAAGGCTGGAATGTTAGCTGGTGAGAGTTCCGGACACCAGCACCCAGGCCCTGATAAGCCAACTTCAGAGCCCCTTCTGGGAGAGAAGGAAGGAGGTACCGTCCCCCTGGGTTGTCTTCCTCTTTGAGGAATCCCTCCTTTTCCCTCCCCTCCCTAGTCAGCTCCATGCAGAAACATGCCAGAAGGAGTTCAGATGGTAGTAGAGTCAGGGCAAGGGAGAGAGCACAGGTTGGGGAAAAAGAAACACTGGGGAGATGAACTAAAAGGAGAGGCTGGAGGAGCCGTACCCGCCCCACGGGCCCGTCACCCCGACAGGATATGCCTCACAAACGCTGCAGGAAGGAAGAGACATTAATGGTGAAGACAAGACACAGACATGGGGCGAAGGGGTACGGTGGTGGGGAAACAGACAATCCATTTATTTTCAGTTCCTTCCTTACCCACCCTTCACACATCACTCCTCCCTCTCCGATCACCACCTGACTGCCCACACCTAGATTGGGCTGGGCTCTGCCCCTTTCCTCCTAGGTCCTTTTGGAGCCCCAATCTGGGAATAGGAAAAAACCCAAATGCTACACTTGACCTGCACATACAGCTGCCTCTTCTGGGAAAACCCAGATTCACCCCTCACCTTCATAGTTGATACAACCATTACTGTCCTCATGTCCTGCCACCAGCATCTCAACTTCTTCCTCTGTCATCTTCTCACCTGCAGAGGGAAAGCGTTTTTGGAATTGGGTGACAAGTGGGATGTATTAGGGTGGCACCTCAGTTTAAGGACAAGGGCACAGAGCCTTACCCAGTGTGACAAGGACATGCCGGATTTCAGCACCCATGACTGTGCCATTCCCTTCCTTGTCAAACACCCGAAGGCCTTCAACATAATCCTCATAAGTGCCTTGGTCCTTGTTCTTGGCCACAGTCTGCAGCATAGGCAGAAAGTGCTCAAAGTCCAACACCTTCACATTCATCTCTACCATAAAAGGAGGTGCAAGTGTTAGGCCTGAGAAGTCACACAGGTTCTCAGGACAGTATCATGGGGATCTCAACCAAACAGATGGCTCCCACACAAAGCAGGGAAATCCATGGGATTGCTAACCAAGACATAACTTGCTTGAATTTGGAGTCTATGAAAATAATGGGAAGCTCCAGGCTGAAGAACTGTGGGCCCACTACCACACTTAAGGCCCCTCACCATCACTCTTGGGGTTCCCCAGGACCTTGAGCACCTCGGCGTTGGTAGGGTTCTGGCCCAGGGCCCTCATCACATCCCCACACTGGCTGTACAGGATCTTGCCATCGCCTGTTCGGTCAAACAGCTGGAAGGCTTCTTTGAATTCTAAAGATTCAGGTGAACATCAGTTGGAGAAGGGGGGTAATTGAAACTCTACCTCAGAGTTCTACTACCCACTGAAGTGTGATCATGCTGAGAAAGCCAGATATCTGTACCCACCTGTACAGCTGACTCTGCTAGGAGGGATCCATTACTCTTCCAACTCAGGTGTCCCATATAAAGATAAAGCTCCCTCCTCCCCCCGAGCTGCAGGGTAATATCCGTTTACAAACACCCTCTGCCTGCAGCTGGCCTCCCCCAACCTCTCTGCACTGCTAAACCACTCTGGGCAGGAATTTGCCACCGCCCAGTCTGAGTCCTGCCCTTATAAGGAAGTAGGAGCAGCACTGGGACTGGGGTCGCTCCAGCCTGCCACTTCCCACCCCACTGTACACCTTCCAGAGGATAGACCTACAAAGTCCTATCTCTAGCAAACTCTCCTGTCCTCGTTTTCAGAATAGCAAGTCACTGCTCTTTACAATCTTCACAATTTCAAGCTGGGGGAAGGGAAGAGTTATCACAGGAGATGAGGCAGGAATAGCTAATTAAGGGACAGAAGTGCACAGGCAGCGTAATACACCCTCCCAAGCCGCGCACACAGCAGGCATTGGTGACCAAGCTGTTTGACATACACCACCTAAAACTCACCCAGTGCCTGGGGCTGAGATCTAGAGTGGGAGGGGAAGAAGAAAGAGAAAAGAAAATGGAGGATCCAGAAGGAGGGAAAAAGGAATCCAGGGGGTATTCTCTTGTGCGGGCGCTAAAGAGATGACAGGTTAGGGTGAGAGGGTAGCTCGTAGAGGGGGTGTCTCTCTCCATACGTGTAACCTCACGGGGGTTAGAGACTACCTACCTGCAGTCTGGTCCTCAGTGAAGTCACACTGCTCAGAGAAGAGGGGAGCGGTCAGCAACTGAACTCTAATTCTCCAAGCTTCTATCCCGGTCCCACAAACTGAACCATAAACTCCTGCTTCCCAGCAGGACAGGGCCCCACATTTTTCAGCCCCACCTTCAACCTTCCAGACCTTCAGGTTCAGTTTGCCCTACCCCTGCCTTCCTCTTGCCTCCACCCATGGTGTCCCGCCTCTCACCCCAAACCCACTTATCTCCCAGGCCCGAGCCCCACCATCTTGACTGATCCGTTCCGCGGGACCTTTTCCTGCAGTAATGGCTCCGACTCCAGGCCCAACCCTAGACTTAGTACGGCCCAATGACGTCACCCCGGCTGATCCAGCCAATAGGAGCCCCGGCCTGGGCTTCCGCAGACAGTTGCTACAGTAGTAAGAAGGTGGGTGGGGCCGCTGGGGTTCCTTAAGTCCCACCTGGGCGCGGAGACCTCGCTGTGGGAGGCGGGATGGGGGTGGAGCGCAGTGAATCCGCTACCCCAATTAGAGCAATATCAAAGGATGTCACTTTTGGGAGCAGAGTCCTCCCCTCCCTCCCTCCCCCACCTCTGAAGAAAACATCAGTCCGAGACCAAGGGAGGAACTGCGTCTTTATTTTGAAACAATAGGTGGCCTCCTGGTGGCTGGAACGTGCTTCCGCTTGCAGGGGCTCGCTGGGTCTGTGAGGTAAAAAAGAAGTTGCCAAGCCCTGGCGCTCCCTCAGCAACCCCACAGGAAAATGCACTGCCCTGGTTTTCTCTGAGGGCTGAGGGACGGGATGGAGACTTGCCTCTCAAGACAGGAGGGGTGGGAGGGGTGGGAGGGCTCACCCACCCGCAGAGCTCAGACGCTTAGGATGTGTTTCAGGAAGGCTGCAGGGAGAGAAGGCCAGAGGAACTTCAGAGGTGGGGGAGGAAGGAAAGATGGGCCCCTCCGACTTCAGGTAACCCAGGGTGCTCCTCCCCTGCCCTCTCCAACCCTGGCCCTTCTGTCCCTCTGGCCCCTCACCCTCGTAGTTGATGCAACCATTGCTGTCCTCATGTCCTGCCAGAACAGTCTCCACCTCCTCCTCAGTCATCTTCTCCCCTGAATCCCAGACACAGCGTTTGACCTCTGCCATCCCTCCTTCATGCACCCAAGGGTTATGGTCATCAGTGTGGTACCCTGGGGACTTCCCAGAGCTACAGCCCTCAAAGGAATTCTACCGGGTTATGGATGCCTCTGGCTTTTTATTTTGCCTTGGTACTGAAGAACACTCTTATGGACAAGGAAACTGAAGCCCAGAGGGTTAAAAGCATCTCTTCCAAAACAAAAACTCAGGTTGCCCACCTCATCCCAGTTCTTCTGTCCTTCAGGAGGCACTTTAGCCTTTGGAAAAGCAAGTCCTTCAGATTCTGATCCCATAGCTGGGCCCTTCTCAGTCTCCTGCTCAAGACCTGCAGGACAGTAATCCCCTCCCTGGCCCACCTCCCTCCTGGTGCACACTCTCCTCTCCACCCCAAAGGAGTTCTGGTCCCTGGCTCACCCAGGGTGGTGAGGACATGTCTGAGTTCTGCTCCCATGACTTTGCCATTCCCCTCCTTGTCAAACACACGAAGCCCCTCCAAGTAGTCTTCATATGTGCCTTGGTCCCGGTTCTTGGCCACTGCCTGGAGCATAGGCAGGAAAGTCTCAAAGTCCACACGCCGGGACTTCAGTTCTGGAGGTTAGAGGGGTGAGGGAGAGGTCACTGTGGTTATCACCTAGGACCCAGTTCCCAACCCCTGCAACAGCTTTCATCTTGTTCAGCGTTCAGAATGTTTTTCTGCCCCTGTGAGAGATAGTTTTGTTTTTGTTGGTTTTTTTTGAGACAGAGTCTCACTATGTTGCCCTCAGTAGAGTGCCATAGTATCACAGCTCATAACAACTTCAAACTCTTGGGCTTAAGCAATTCTCTTGCTTCAGCCTCCCAAGTAGCTGGGACTACAGGCGCCTCCACAACCCCAGGCTATTTTTTTGTTTTAGTTGTCATTGTTTAGCAGGCCTGGGCTGGGGTTGAACCTACCTGCCCTGCTGTATGTGGCTGGTGCCCTAACCACTGAGCACAGGTGCCAAGCCAAGAAACAGTTAAGCCTTGAGTTTCAGCATAGCATCCTTTGTCACCTCACCAACATTTCATCATCAAAAATTGAAAACCTGCATTGTTCCAAGGGTTCTCTCACCGTCACTCTTGGGGTTCCCTAGGACCTTGAGCACCTCGGCGTTGGTGGGGTTCTGGCCCAGAGCCCTCATCACATCCCCACACTGGCTGTACAGGATCTTGCCATCTCCTACTCGGTCAAACAGCTCAAATGCTTCTTTGAACTCTGAGGTATAAGAAGGGGTCAGTGTTGACCTGAGGCTAACACCCATCCCATCACCCCCAGACAGAAGGGAGGTTCATAAACTATGTGCTAGAATTGGGCAGACAAGAGAGGAAAAGAGGTACTCGCTTCAGCAGCACATATACTAAAGAGAGGAAAAGAGGAATAGTGTGGAAGTTTCAAGGTCAGGAATAGGGTTAGGGGAATAAAATCAGGATCTGACCAGGGCTTTGGATTGGACAGTGAGCACAGGGGACCAGCTTCTCCTCACCCTCCAGCTGGTCCTTGTTAAACTCGATCTGTGGAAGAAAAGAGCAGGTGGGGAAAGATGACAGGGCTCATTCAATCCCTCCCTCTCCAGCACTCCTCCCAAACCAACTGGCAGCCACTTCTGGGGAGGGGCCCAGAGGGACCAGGCTAGGAGCCCAGCCACCTCAGTCCCATTCCCAGCTCTTGGCCTTGGGAGAATCCCAAGAGGAGGAATTATAGCGGGGAGGGTTTCCTGGGAACAGGGTTAATCCCACGCCACCTGTTCCCCTCCCTCCGCTGCCCTGAGCTCTGCATCCCTCACATAACTGGGGGCTGAACAAAGGCTAAATTTACCCCTATCCCCCAGCTGTGATTGTCTAACAAGTCTGTCCTTTTCAGCCTCCCTTTCTGGGGTTCAGAGCTGTGGCCTTTGAGTTGAACCACCAGCCAGGGGCAGACAGCAGCTCTCTTCCCTTCACTTTGAAACTGTCCTCAGAACTCAGGTGTTCCCCATCTCAGAGTCCCCCTGCCTCCAGTGGGCGGGGGGAAGCAGATATATACAGGTGTTACAGGTTAGAGGGAGAGAACTGCAAAAACAACAGCAGCGTCACAAGCCTGGATGCTTCCAAATAGGAGACTAAGGGAACCTCCAATCTCATTCCAGTGTTCATTGATTCTCTACCTTCTCTCTCTATATATATACAAATATGTATATATGTATTTTTGAGACAGTCTCACTCTGTTGCCCTGTGTAGAGTGCTCAGTCTACCTCACAGCAACCTCAAACTCCAGGGTTCAAAAGCTGATTGCTTCAGCTTCCTGAGTAGCTGGCACTACAGGTGCCCACCACAATGCCTGGCTGACTTTTTTCTATTGTTAGTAGAGACAGGGTCTCCCTCTTGCTCAAGCTGGTCTGGAACTCCTGAGCTCAAGGGATCCTCCCACCTCAGCTTCCCAGAGTGCTAGGATTATAGGCGTGAGCCACCTCGCCAGGCAATTCAGATTCTCTACTTTCTAGATACTCCCTGATCCCATAGGCTGTATCCCACTCATAAGCCCCCCACCTCCAAATTCTACCTTCACTTTCTGGAGACTCACCACAACTTTGGAGAGATCGATAGGGGGATCCTGGGTTTTCTGAGAGGCTTGGGGAACAGCTGGCTCAGCCTTAGTCTTGACTGGAGGGGCCCCTGCTGCTGGCTTGGCAGTAGGTTTGGAGATGGGGGGCCCTGCTGGTTTCTTCACTGGAACATCCTTCTTGGGAGGCATGATGTCCGGTGGCCAAAGGACAGTGTGCCGATGGGGGCACCCATCTCTGTTTAAATAGGCAGGGAGTCTGGGATGTCAAGGGGCGGGGGCAGGGACAGTGAGCCAGTTGGCAGTGGTGATGATGAGGTAGAGGAGAGATATGCCCGTCTGCCCTCACTCTCCTGCCCCAAGGTCTTCTCTCTGTTCATCCCTCCCTAAAGGCTGACCCAAACAATGTTCCCTCTTGGGGCAAGAGGAGGAAGCCAAAGACTGCCTAGAATGGAGGAGTTAACCTCCGGGGTTAGGATAGGATGCTTGCCAGTGACACTGAGATAGGGGTGAGGCAAAGGAAAGGATCCAGCAGCTTTAGACTCGGGAAGGGCCAGAAAGGAGGTGGTTAGGAGGCTGTGTGAACCATAAGTTAAAGTGGGGTCTGGGAGCTGTGAAAGGGAAAAAATCAAGCAGCTCATCCATCCATCCCTTCCAGTCTCCTCTGACTGCGGGGGTGGGGGTGAGGAGCAGGAGAGGTTAATCCCGCAGTCTACTAATCTCCAATGCTTGTTTCCCTAGGCACCCACCCACTCAGAACTGGAACTGTGCACAGTATAAAGAACAAACAGTAATAGAAAGGGGAGTGTGACATCTCCAGTTGTCTCTGGTGCCCAGTGTTGTTTTAGGGGCGGAGTAGGGGAAAGATGGGTTTAAGACCCACTACCCATCCTCCCAAGAAAGGAACTATTTTCCACAAGCCCTCGTCACTCAAGTAAAACAAAAAGTAAGGCATTTCCTAAACATACAGGGATCCTAAATTAGAGAATTTAGGCCCTTTGTCTCCCAGAATTTGCTCTCCCCCCCAGATGCCATCACACCTGGCGGGGGGGGGGGGGGGGGGGGGGGGGCGGGGGGGAAGCAAGTTCTGGGAGACAAAGGGCCTAAATTCTCTAATTCAAAAATGATGCAGGAGCTCCTATGCCCTCCAGGAGTACTCACCCTCCAACCAAGGAGGCAATTAAAAACCCTCACAGCCTGGTCACAAACCTTGTAGGGGCGCTGAGAGGGTCCAATTGAGGGCCTTTGGGAATGGGGAGGGGGTGCTGGCTACTTTTGTTCTGGAGGAAAAGAAAGGAAGTGTTTAGGTAGCATTCTGAGGAGGATAGCAGCGATTCCACTAAGGCCCTGGGGTTCAGAGAATGGATACTGGGTCCTTCAGCAAAAAAAAAAAAAAAAAGCGTCTGAATCCCATTACTGCAAATTGTCCCACTTTGGGAACATCAGGAATCATTTCTCCCGCGGGGAACACCTGTCTCGCTAACAAGCACTCTAAAATACGCACCCCCCGCCACGCTCCCCAAGTCTCAGAGAAAAGCAGTCCTCCCCAACCGCCAAACACTCACCCTGCAGGGTCCGCCTAGGGGAAGGGGGCGGGGCGCAGCGCGGCGTCCTCCCCTGAAGGGTTAAAGCCGGCGGCCGCGGAGCACACTGGGAGTCATAGTCCCAGGACGCCCGTGAGCTCTCTGGAATGGCGCGAAGACGGCGCCGGGCGGGGACATCCGGTCCCCCGCGGCTGTTGGTGTCTCCACTCTTGCTTTGAGCGGTTTTCTGCCCCGGAACTGAACGGCCGTGAGCAATTTACAATCCACATTAAGCCCAAAGCCCTGCGTGGCCCTCCGAGACATCCCTCTTGCTTAGCCTGGGTGAGCTTCTCACGCAGTGGGGGTGGGAGTGTTTTCCCTGATCTACTGGGGAGAGAGCTCGGGAAATACTGAAACTACGGCCGAGGTAGTGGAGGGCAGGCTGGACCTGACACGCGGAGATTGCCGCAGGCATTTTGCTTCCTCTCGCGGTTCGGAAAGATAGAAAACAGACCAGTGAATTACTGTGTGGCTTGGAGCGGAACTTCCACAATTTTTTATTTTTTTGAAATGAGCAGGTCTCTGGAGTAAAATATTAAGATTTGCAGTTAACACGCCCCTGTTGCCTACACTCTTGTCATCTTTTTTTTTTTTGGTAGGGGGACAGTCTCAGGAAGTCTTAGCTCACAACAACCTCAAACTCTTGGGCTCAAGCGATCCTTCTGCCTCAACCTACGACTAGCTGGGACTACAGGTGCCTGCCACAATGCTAGGGTATTTTTTTATTTTTGTTCAGAGACACAGTTGGTCTCACTCTTGCTCAGGCTGGTCTCAGAACTCCTGAGTTCAAACAATCCAACTGCTTGGGCCTCCCTGAGTGCTAGGATTACAGGCCTGAGCCACTGCACCAGGCCTCCTGTCATCTTCTTAATCATAATCTAGGGGTCCTTCCATGAGAGCACAGCTGCCTCATCTTGGCTGGAAAATAGACAAACTGATGGCTGAATGGGGGAGTGAAGATGAAGCCATGATTTGAGACTGTCACTTAGGGAGGGAAAGGCGCCTTAAGGGAATGATCTTGATGGCTGACTCTCTTGTCCTTCAGCTCCTAGCCAGAGGCTGTCCCTCAAGGAGAATCTCCAGTCAGAGAAGTATGTCTTAAGGAAAACAAAGAAAGTAGGCCTTTTCCTCCAAGGCAGCAAAGGGGTCCTGTTTGTTGTCTATGGCAAAAGTACGTTGCTCAGTAAACCCATATCTTGCTCTTGCTCTGCAAACCTACCCTTCCTCAAACTTTGTTTCATGTTTAGGGAAAAGAAAAATTTTTGTAGTTAATCCCTGTCACCTGTTCCAGTCACCGGGTCCGGGCTTCTTCATCTTGCACAGGTATTTGCGCCACCTTTCCGGATCTTCATAAGTCTTGTAACTGAGACAACTACTACCTATCATTGGGGTTCATTCATTCCTGCAGGTGTTTATCAAAGATCTCTGTGCTGCATGGTGCCTGTGGCTCAAGGAGTAGGGCACTGGCCCCATAAACTGGGGGTGGCAGGTTCAAAACCAGCCCTGGCCAAAAACTGCAAAAAAAAGAAAAAAATCTCTGTGCTGAGAGAGAACCAGCCCTGCCAGGCCCATCTTCACTCACTAGATCAATAAATGCCTTGAGGTCTGTACCTGTGTTGAAGGCAGGGCTACAAGGGTGTGCAAGGATTGGATTAGAGCAGAAAACTTGCACAAGGTCAGGGAAGTGAGGCATGGGTGAACTTTGTGGACTGTAAGTGATGTTCACTGTTTGGGGGAGGCTTTTCAGAATAGTAAAGATGAATTGTGCTGCAGAAATAATGATGATAGTGAAGTTAGCAACTATTCCTAGAGGCTGCCACAGGCTAAGTACTGATGAAGGGGCAAAATTATCTCAGAGTGTCAGCACAGGGGACGCTAGAGAGTGTAGGCTCAGGCCAACAGGCTCAAATTTGAGTCCTGGTTCTGTCAAGTACTGGCTGGTAAACTCCAGCATGTTTAAATTTTATTTAGTATGGCTCAGTGCCTGTGGCTCAAGTGGCTAAGGCTCTAGCCACATACACCTAAGGTGGCAGGTTCAAATCCAGCCTGGGCCCGCCAAACAACAATGATGGCTGCAACCAAAAAAAAAAAAAAAATAGCTAGGCATTGTGGTGGGCACCTGTG